CCCCAAAACCCCAAAACCCCAAAACCCCGTAGAATATGTATTAGCAAAATAGTTGATTAACTTTAAATAATCAAAAAATTCAAAAATATGTAAGTTGATCAATTGAATAATTCTTATTCGAATCAGTCTACTATGAACTAAACAGTTCTTAATTCTTCTAATAACATTCATGTTATCATAAGAGTTAGACCTCTCACAGATAATTATTAGCAAGGGATCTAAAATTGTAAGTTTGCTTTCAAAATAAAAATCATATATTATAATTACCAATGCAGCCATTTCTCACTAAAGTTTTAGGGACCTTGAACCAATCATGCATTAATCCAGCACAGCAAAATTAATCGTTCGTTGCTCCAGAAGGATTTTTGACCCACAAAAGGTGTATTTAGGAAATTAAGGATAGAAAGTAGATTTACTTACCAACAATTGGTAAAAATCCTGAATCTTTTACTTTTGATTTCGTGGGTGGTGAAGATGTTACTTAAGAAGAAATCTTCCAAACTGTAGGAAAGCCTATAGTGGATCAGTGTCTTTTAGGCTATAATGGATCGATTTTTGCATACGGATAAACTGGCTCTGGAAAGACATATACTATTCAAGGAGCGAGTATCTAAGCAGAATCAAGTGAAAATAGAACTGGAAGCAATATTGGAGCTGGAGATGAAAACAGCAGTATGTAAATCGATAATAGTAATTTTAATAAGCTGGATAAAAATCAAAGAGGACTCTTGCCAAGGTCATTCGAGTATCTCTTCTAGCAAATTCAAAAAATAAAAAATCTTCATAACATACAATCTGCGAGAGGAAAGGCTTCAGCTAGAAAAAGTCTAGCTCCTAGTTCAATAAATCTGCCTAAATTTCATGAGAACTGTGTTGAAATAGAGTTTGATGTGAAGTGCTCCTTCTTGGAAATTTACAATGAAAACATAATTGATCTGTTAGACTCAAGCGATAAGAAAATTCAAATTAGAGAGGACAAAGAGCATGGAGTCTATGCAGAATATAGCACTGAGGAAAAGGTAAACTGCATCTAGGATGTGCTATCCCTCATTGCAAAAGGTACTAGGAACAGAAAGATAGCAAGCACAAATATGAATAGAGAAAGCTCAAGATCTCATGCAGTATTTACCGCCATTATTAAAGTTACTTAAACTCTGAGTTCTGATGAATAGCTAATAAAAACGGCTAGATTTCACGTTGTGGATCTTGCTGGTAGTGAAAGGTGCAAAGAAACAGGCGCTGAAGGATAAAGACTTAAAGAAGCTAGCATGATCAACAAGAGTTTAACAACTTTAGGATCAGTCATAAATGAGCTAGCAGATATTAGCAGTGGTAATGAGACAAAAGGAAAATCAAGGCACATCAGATACAGAGAAAGTAAGCTAACATACTTGCTAAGGGATGCTCTTGGAGGAAATTCAAAAACTGTCATGATTTGTAATGTCAATCCTCATCTGTCAGCTTTGAGAGAGACTAAGTCTACATTACAGTTTGCACAAAGAGCTAAAATGATAAAGAATTCAGCAGTTGTAAATGAGGAAAATACTAGCTATAAATATTGGAAGGAGAAGTACCAAAGGGAAATCGGCTTTTAAAGAGCTAATACCCTTCCGAATCCTAGTTTTGACCACAATATTACTTTTTCTTTAAATTAGGAGATGGGTAATGGGATGTGCTAAAACTGTAAGAAACACTAAGATGGAGGTTTTCAATCAAGTTCCAAATTCAAAGATAACAATCAAGAAAAACTTTACTTAGACTCTTAAAAGCATATCAAAGAACTTACTCATCAACTTAAAGAGGAAACAGACAAGAGAAATATAATGGAAGCTTAGTATGCGGCTGCTAATGAAGAGACTCAAAAGTTGAGAAATCAGATGAAATTCCAAGTGAAACTAAAGGAGAACCAATTAAAAAGGCTGCATGAAGATTTGAATTCGCTGATTGGTCAAAAGATTGACAAGGGCAGTTCATTTGAAGAAGATTTCAGAATTTTAACGGAATAAATGGAGATGCTCAAATAAGAAAACTAAGTACTGAAAGACTAAGTTGATACAAACCCACTTCTGGCCATTAAAGTAGCTAAGATCAAAGAACTTGAGATAAAGATAGGCGAGATTTAAAATTTCACTGATGCCTAAAATGGATTAGGTACTTCTCTGAGCAAAACTATGAATGAAGTATTGGAACACATTGACTAATCTATCAAGTATCTTGAGTAAAATTTCTCATCATCTAAAAAGGATGCTAACATCGCTGGGTTAGATATTGAAATGGCTGATGTCAACCCTTTCAATAGATCATTTAACCTTGCCTAATCACAAATGAATGATATCTCTTATCTTACCGTAAAGAGAGATCAGGAAGTTGCTAATATCAAGATTCAATACGAGGAGCAGCTAGATACTTTAAAAAGATAACTAAAGGGTGAGACTAGCAAGAATCAAAAGCTTATAGCATTCTTGACTTAGAAAGGTTCTTAAAACACTCAATATAATGATGAATTGCTCACAAGCACATAATCTTTCAATAATATGATGTATAATACTCAGGGATTATTATGCTCTTAAAGAACTGCTGGTTTCAATTAGTCCTAATATTTAATAAACTAAACTCAAAATCAAATCATAGAAGCAGATAGTGAAAATCAAATTAATTCTCAGGGTAATCCTATATATGAAGAGATGCAGATGTTGCTTAATGATTGTCAAATGAAGATATAAGAATATACTGCATAGATTGGTGTCCTTACCAACGAACTAGAAACTCAGAGATAAATTACCGATGAAATCTCTAGAAAGTATGAAGAGGCAATGAACGACAAAATAAACTTGGAGACTTTCAAACTCTAATTAGAGGACAAGATCGGCATACTTGAATAAGACTTAGAATAAATAAGTCAAGAAAATTAGCAAATATATCAGATTAAAGCAGATTTGGAATAACTGTAAAACTTAAATGAAGATCTAGAGTTGAAGAATAATGAATATATAGAGGAGATTTCTACACTTTAACAAACAAACGATTATTTTGCAAATAAGGCTTTGCCTGATTTTGAAAAGTAGATTTAGAGCTTAAATGAGAAATTTAAAAATCTAATGGATGAGAACAAAAGTCTAAAGGAATTAAAAAACAAAGATTAAAATATTGATGAGTTATTAAGGTAAATCTAGTCCTTGAAGACTTAAAACAGCAGCTAAGAAAATCAGTTGAAAGAGTGTATGAAATAGATCTCAGTAATAGAGCAAGTAATGGTTGACTAGAAAAATTACATTGTGGATCTAAATACAAAAGCCAAGGAAGATGATGAAAAAATGGCTAGCCTCAGAGATTAACTAAATAAGAATGATGAGTAAAGAAATGAGTTAGAAGAAATTTTAAATGAAGCCTAGAAGTAGCTATAAGCAACTGATAATAAGATATCAGACTTAGAGGGCAAGAATCAATAGATGCTGACCAAGTGCATACAACTAGACTAGCAAAATAAGTAACTAAAGGATGATAAGCACAACTATGAACAGAAAATAGTTTAGTTTACTTCTAAATTAGAGGTAAATGAGTAAGAAAAGAACTTACTTCACAAGCAGCTTAACGAAAGTCAGAGGAAATATGAAGCTTACAAGAGTATGTCACAGAAATAAATATAGTAAATAGAGCAATTAGTGGAGGAACTTAAGGCATTCAGATCTAACAATTCAGACAGCCAGGCTACAATTGATGAAAAAGTTAGAAAGATCAAAACTGAAAATAGAGATCTAAAAGATAAGCTAAGATAAAAGGAATAGGTATTGCAGTCTTTGGAAAGAAGAGTTCAGTAATGGGAGTCTTAAAGAGATTAATTTGCTTAGAAAGATGTTGAGTTGCAAAGACTTAGGAACTATTAGAAGGAGTGTGAAAGTTTAAGAGCTTAACTCGAAATAATTACTACAGCAAATGGTTAGCTAGAGTCATAGCTGTGCATAATTGAGAGCGAGCTTAAGAATTAAAAGTAAAGATATGAGAATCTCGAGAGAGAAAATGCAACCATTCTAAACATTGGGGACACATAGAAATATCAGCATCTCAACTAGGTCAGAGGATAAAGTAATTAAACAATAAAACAGCTCAATGAGTCAGTATAAGAATTGAAAAAGTGTAAAGAAAAGATTTCGAAATTGGAATTAAAAATAAGAGACCAAAATAGTTATGTATTGTTATTTGGAAATGAAATCTGCTAAAGATTACAAATTAATAGAAATACGATGATCAAAACTAGACCAGAGGATAATTTTAAGTAGTACATCAATGATTTACTAGAAATAATCACTCAAACTCTGACCAACCAGAAATTGGTCCTAGAGACTCCAAATAATATATCCTATTTGAAGCAATCTGAGGAAATTTCTTCTTCATCATAGGCTGAATCCTCTTCTCATGAAGATTCTAGACTTAATTTCTTTGGTATTGGGAATCAAGAAGTTAATAAACAATAAGATTAGCATAACCAGAATATTCAGCCATAGAATAATCAATTATAGAGCAGAACCATTTATTTGGGTGCAGGATAAAGCAACAGATACGATAACAGTGCGAACACTTCAATGAATAATGAAGAACAAGAAAATTAAGGTCCTTAACATAATAATTATTAAAGCAACATTTAAATTTCTGATCAGCCAGTCCTTCAACTGAAAAAAGCATTTAAACTGCCTACATCGATTAATAGTTCTTAATTCTCTACTCAAAATTAGATCCAGCCTAGAAATGCAGCTCAAGTTAACTCTGGCAATTAAAGCATGCATAAGAATAATTTCTCAGCCTCTAAACCTACTAAAGCGGCCTGGGGTAGCAATCTTGGTTTAGTGAGTACCATCAACAGATCTCAGATAAGCGGTTCAAACACGCAGGGTGCAAACTAAAATATTAATGTGAGAGGGGCAAATGGAGCAAACAGAAATAATGGATAGAATAACTAGTCAATGAGAGAACCAAGTAATCAAAGAATGGATATCGATAGCTGAGTAGTTTACTTAATGATATTCAATTTAAGCTCAAATTAATTACCTTTTAATTATCTAATTTATTCAAAGATATTTTAGATAAAGGGGTTTTGGGGTTTTGGGGTTTTGGGG